ATTGAAACTATTCATTAGTTTTTGAAAATGTATATATGAAAAGCAGATTTGTGCACATTTAGCGTTTAGTTTTTAACTGCAACTTTTAAACTACAATTTTGATGACAACTCGTACTACCTTTTTATTTGAAGTTCAAGTTAACAGTTCATAAAAATTAAAGGCTTGGAAAATTTTAAAATTTCAGAAGAGACCCTAATTTACTTACAATTTACTTTTTAAGGCCAGATTTCTCTTGCGACTGGCGTTATTTAAATCCTCAAGACTTTCTGCTACTAATTTAATTTCCCCTGTAATTAATTAACGTTAGAGTTTAATTGAACACACGATCAATATAGCGAAAGAAGAAATCAAAGGGGTCTTAACAAATCTGTTTAAGTATCTGCGCTGAACGAATGATTATCAAAAATTAATAACTATTTTCAAGTTCTTAAATCAAGACACTACCGTTAAAGAGTTAAGGTCTCTACACAGCAAGAGGATGCTCATCCACCACAAAAGAGTGCATGAGTGAATCGAGAAGTTCCGAAACGGCTGGACGAGTGTGAAATACATTACCTCGTGGATTGTTTCGGCCTTTTTTCGAATTGTCGATTCAAGTTTTTATCAGAAATTTGCCTTCTCCGACACTAAGAACCTATTAGTACTTCCGAACGGGAATTTGAGAAAAAACAAAGATGCAATTACAGAACTTGATCGGTTTAGAAATATGCGTTCGAGAACTTTTGAAATACTCATTTGAGTCAATCTATATTTGGTTTACGTAGCACCAAACTTAGATTTTTGGAATCTTAAATTGACAGCATATAAATTTTACGTTAATACGTTGACTATTTTTAAAGCACGTAAACACATACTAAAATACCAATTTCATTTTATTAGAAACATATGCAAGTGGAAAGATTTAAATTATTTTCTTAATAAATATATTTTAAAATAGTAATAAGTTACCCTGAATTTGGATAGGTTGGATAAATCTGGTAGTAATACTAAGTTAAAACATTCACAACTCCAATGATTTTAAATTTTCGAATAGATTTAAAAAGATTTGGGTCAATATTCAATTCGCATTACAATTTTGCCATCTAACTTAAACTTTGTTATAAAGTAAATTCTATAATTCGGATCTTTAAGGACGTTATGATTTATGCACCTATTTCAGAAATTGAAAAACATATTCGTTTATCAAGTTATGGAATATTCTGCATTCTGTAAGGATTCATTTTGTAAGGAACCTATTTTTAAGTAATCTCTACAATGCGTACGTCGAAAACTAATTTGTCCACTTTTCTAGTTTTAGATTAGTTTAATGTCAAGTTAAGGATCCAGTCTAGTTCTTCATTGCGATATGCCTAACAGATAGCATCCTTTAATGGCTATAAAAAGATTTCAAATGAGTTAGAATACTTTCCAGAGTGTTGAAAACCTGGTTAGAACAGCGATCCATACGGCGGCTCCAGATGCAGGATCTAGCGTACTTATAATTTTATATAATATTTAGTTTAGCAATTTCCCATGAAACTAGTTTAATATACAAGAGCTCTTGAAGTCTACCCGTATTACAGCGAGAATTTAGCCACTATAGACTGCAATAAGGAAACTTAGGATTTATATTTGCATTTTGACTACAAAAATAGCATGAATAGTTCGAGAATGAACATTGGAGTTGTCATTTATCAAAATATATGAAGTTCCTCATTGGCTATCCCGAATAAAGTAATATATTGTTGTGAAATGGTAAACTTAAGTTAAATAGCGGTACAGTAAAATTAGCAAATATAAATTCAATATGCAGAGACTTTCAGGTTTAAAACGAAATATAAGAACACTTTTCGTGCAGAAATGTGCACAAGTGAACCGAGAAGTTCCGAAACGGCTGAACGAGTGTAAAACACCACGAAGAAGCAGAACGGCCGTCTACCACCTCCTCATAGGATTTTATACTTGTCCAGATGTTACAGAACTTTTCGCTTCAATTATACACACTTTCCGTTACCGAACAATGGCCCAATATTTCGCAGAAAATCTAAAGCTGTTTCAGCATAGTCATCTGACTAAAGTCTGCGATTGCCTTTGAGATCTAAAGTTAACAAAAAGTCATAGATATTGTGGTCTGCTAGTTCAAAACTTTATCGTAAGCTAAGTTTAAGATTTGTTTTATTAATTAAATTTATGCACTAAATGTATCAATTTTACATATACCCGCTAATCAATTCTGTATTGTTTCGCTCTGCAAATTCATTAAATTGGTAATTAAGGTTTTTCTCGTCACTTCGTAGACCTGAAATATCACTTAACTAGGGCTATCAATTAAACATTTGGAGCCGCGCATCCGAATTTCCTCGCTTGTGATAAAATTAACTCTGCATAAGAGTTAATCTGAGAAAAATTTCAGCTATACGTCTTTTTAACAAGTTTATGTTTGATCAAACTTTACAATCAATTAGTATTCTTTCCTGAATTGCGCATAAGTAACCATCATTTAACAATTCACTTTTACGTACGTATTGACTAATGTAACATTGGATGAAAAAAAATATATGGAATATTATAAAGTTTGTGATAAATTTTAAACGTTAACCTTTAGTTACAATTTATTTCCCATAAATATAGCGAAAGAAAACAATTCAGTAGTTTGTAAGAAAAAGGACCGTTACGATAAAATGCATTAAAAAAAAAGGTGCATAATTTAAGATACGAGACTGTTTCAGACTACTGTTTAGGGTATGTTTAATAGAAAAGATTATCAAAATTAAAGGAGGTAAAGTTTAATCATGTGTTTTTATATTAATAATTTTACTTTCCTTTGGTATAAGTAGCATAAGCTGTCCAGTCATGATAGAAATCACTAGTTTTTAAAAATGTCTACCGAGTTGAGAGCGTTTTAGTTCAAAAATACAAATTTAAATTTGACTTTGTAAATACTTACTAAAATAGATGCATGTTTTTAGAACTTCGCAGTCGATATCTTTAATTTACTGGTAACAATATATAATCCGAATCAGAAATTTAAAAATTCGAACAAAGCTGAATTTTATTAAAATTAGTTTCCAAAATATTTCTCAAAATTTTTTCCGCGTGAATTTTACTGTTGTATAACTTCAAAAATAACAGAAAATTATTCGAAAGTGCATAATTTCATAACCTCACACAAAAAATTAGTATCTCGTAATTTTTAAAAATTTTAATAGGTAATACCGCGTGATTATGCCCCATCGCTTAAACTTATTTAGCTGCCGAGTCAATGAATCAATGTTAGTTTGTAATTGAAATATATGTTATATAGTTAGTCATATGTTAGTAATTAGCCAGAAATAACATACACAAAAATATGAATGCATAACGAAATTCCTTAAACACGAACTGCTTTAAATTTGCTCATCCCGCCATATTTATATTTAAAAAAAAGGGGAAAATTCAAAAATTTTTTAATTTTATTTACTTTTTGAAACTAGGGGGTAGATAGTGTGTCAGCACTGATGCTTTTTCACATTTTTAAAATATCCTTTTATCACGTGCTATGCTTATAGCCAGTTTTGCATAGCTAAACTAATCGAATCATATCCGTAATATTGTTCAACGTTGAAATTTCTGATTCAACCGATACTTTTGATAACTGAATGTGTATCAAAACAGCTATACATATTTAAGAGCCGAGATTAAACAAATTGAGGCACATCCATTTAAAGATTTTCGTTATGCAAATAAACTCGGCAGAGAAATAAGTTTAAAAACAGGACTAGTTTTGTAGAAGCCCATTTATAAATTATTAGAAATATAATTTCTCGTTTATCGTAAGAAATCACCGGACCAGTTGAAATATTTGTTACAACCAAATTTCTTACCTAATTCATTGTAGGCGAGAATGAGTATAATAAGTTAACTGCAGATAAGTATTTAAAAACTTAATTTAATTACTAAACAGCTATGTTTATTTAATTAAAATTTTTCTTAATAGTTTCATTCCTAAATTTGATGTAGTTCTCATTTGTTTTTTAAATTAATAGAATACATAGAGTTTTATTGCCTATAGATACTACATAAATGCTTGAAAAATTATAAATTTAGGTACGTTTGTTTAGTTTAATTTATCATAACACAATTATAAATACCTAGATAAAAATAAGACAGACTAAATTGTGTAGTATTAGAACGACAAACGTACAACATGTTTCAATTGAGGTACACAATGACTAGGGCGAAAAGAAATTTTGAAAAATACGGTTGCATGACGCGACAGCGAGTCTTAAAGCTTTAAGAGTTTTAAATAATGTAAGCGATGATTATACACACAGCAGATTCTGAATTGTCAGATAAAAAAATTTTTTGGAACAGTACACGTTACCTTAAATACTAAAACTGGTACTTAATAGTACATTACTGATGAGCTAAGATCTTCATTGCTATCAATTTGATAGTTTTTATTTAGGTAACAAAATTTGCGATTGCATATTCTGGTTTTTCGGTATCGAAACATCTCGTTACCTCAAGGTGTTTTGAAATTTTATAATGAGAGTTTAATAAATTCTACCGGTTTTTCCCAGCTCACTTTGATTTGTTAAGTTTAAAACAAGTTTAAGAGTTGCTTTAGTATATTTTAATAAACTTGGAGTTGTGAATTTTATCAATTAAACGTTTCAAATTATTTTTTACTCAAGTTATGCCTAAACTTTCAGTGTATTTAAATCGTAGATTTTGAAACTAGCGCATTTACTTCATCAGATTCTTTAATATGAATCACGTATCTGATAAATTATCCTTTACTCTCCACCAAATATGATAAGAATTTGTTATACCAAAAAATTTGATATCGAATGTTACATTAATCTAAATCTCTGTCTGATAATCTGACGAAAGTACTTTAGTTTTTAATTCCCTGAATTTAAAACTTTGGAACGAAACTTTAACTGGGACTCAAAACAATTCCTTTCAATATTAAAACTTTAGATTTCAGCTCTTTTTACTGGTCAACAGTTTAAAGCAGAAACACCAATAAAAACTAAGTCAGTAATGGAGATCTCGGCAGGATACGGTCCTCATGGAAACTAGGTCAGTAATGGAGATCTCGGCAGGCTACAGTCCTCCTCATGGAAACTAGGTCAGTAATGGAGATCTCGGCAGGCTACGGTCCTCCTCATGGAAACTAGGTCAGCAATGGAGATCTCGGCAGGCTACGGTCCTCCTCATGGAAACTAGGTCAGTAATGGAGATCTCGGCAGGCTACGGTCCTCCTCATGGAAACTAAGTCAGTAATAGAGATCTCGGCAGGATACGGTCCTCATGGAAACTAGGTCAGTAACGGAGATCTCGGCAGGCTACGGTCCTCATGGAAATAAGTCAGCAATGGTGATCTTGGCAGACTACGTTCCCAATATCAACTAGTCAGAAATTAAGATCTTGGAAAATTTCCCAAGGGCGACGATATGATGATGAAGTACCCAATACAAAGCCTAGTGTTAAAAAGAACAAGAATACAGCCCTTTTAGTCTGAGACCGTGTCTGATATCAGAGCATCGAGTGAAGTTTTATTACCATTAACACTTTGTACAGGTCTATGTTTACCCCTTTGTAGGTAGGCCCTTGAAATGCAAATCCAAGAGTCTGCATTATTTTACTAAAGTGTTCCTTAATATTACGGTGGTCGTATTAGTCTGAACATTTAATTCCTACTCGATAAAAACTCCTTGCCGTCGGGCTAACCGTTTTAAAAGAAACTAGTTTAAAAAACTACACATTTTTCATGCAATGCTATCAGCTCTACGGTAAATTGTAATGCATCAATTTCAACATCTCCAGATTAATGTTAGAGTTTTGAATCTTAAATTTCAAAAAGACAAATAGAAATATAGTGATTAATATTGAATTTTAAAAGAAAATTTAATATACTTAAAGCTTGATAAAAATACTAAATGCACACTTGCATCCTAGCTTTTAGTTCAACGCTAAAATTACACAAAATCTGAAAGTAAGATTTAAAAGTTTACTCTAAAAATTTTTGTCATGTCTGCTTTAATAAAAGAATGGAAATCACCTTTCGTAAAATTCCTTTAAATTGCAAGAAAATGAAAAATGAATTCGAAAATTTTGTCTTTATATAAATTAATACATAATACTTAGTATTAAAAATTTAACCTTTTAATTTACTCAAATAAAGCATAAAAATGCTTAAGTTTCTACATCCGTCAGAATGAAAAAATTACTATATCATTTCTAAGTATCGGAGATCAAAATTTTCAGGCTTTGGAAAGCTAATGAATTAAAGTTCAAACACTAATAAACAATTTTCGTCAAAATTTCCTATTTTCACCTAGTCTGATACCTTCAATATGTTTATTTTATGTAATAGTTCAATGTCTAAAGTATTTTATAATTCAATCTGTGATAAAAGTGCTAATCTAAGAGTAAATATGTTGAAATTTATCTTAAACAAATTTCTTGATTAGATCAAAATAAATCTAACTTTCTTACCCAATCCAAATCTGATAATGATAACCAGCAAGGAATACATTTCTCAATCCAGTATAATCAAACTTTCTGTAGTAAAGTCTCACACATCAATTTTTAGGTAGCTTCTTGGATCCTGTAACAAAGAAAAATTATGCTGTGCACACAGTGACGTATCTTTTTTTAAAATATTTTTACATAATGTACTTTAACCTTTAAATGGACCATTTATTTCTAGTAAAGGTAAATTAAAGTACTTTTGCAATTTAAATAGTTATAAGAATAGCAATTTATATGAGAAAAAACTCATTTATGTAATAAAAATTCCATTTTTTGGTGGTAAGTGTATTTAGAACGACCTATTAGGAATTTATTGGCTTTTACTTCTCTTTATTTATAAAATAAATTTTTTTAACTAACAAATGGTTGCCAATTTTATTCAAACGCACTCGAAGAAAGCTGAAGCTATTAACGAATGGAAACCTAAATTAAAAGCGGTAAAAAGTTCACCGTAGTCTTTAAAGATAGGGCGTAAGTATACTTACCACGGCCTTAGAAAGGGTTAAGTTCGCTGATGAACGTTTTATACTTAGGACTAATAATCGATAATATTAGACTAATTCTACGACAATGATAGAGTTTGGTGATAAACATTTATGTGGTGAAATTAAAATCTCTAACTCCGCGAAGAATTGGAGAAATTAAAGACCTAATATTCATTTTACAGTTTTCTGACAAATTTATTTTCTAGTCTGAAAGACATTTTAACTGCTTTCGAATTTTTAAAATCTGTTTTACTTTAGAAGTTCTGAAAAATTATACAGAAAATGACCAAACGATTATAGATTGATGCTCGTAGATTGATCTACGAAGGAAACTTAAAGTACGCAGTAACCTCCACAACTTATTCTTAGAAAGTTACAACGAATTTCTTTACAGTTATAAAAATCATGAATAGATTACATATAAATTTAAACTAAGCCAACAATGTATGAAAATTCATTAATGAATGCAATCAGTAATTTATCTATAACAATCTGATTGTGTTTTAGTACGGAATTATTTAACATAATTAGCCATCGATTTAATGATTTAGATTTTTATTTACTGACTTACTGATTCTAGGAAATATATCAAAATACAGTAGAAAACTTATAATCTGAAAATTATACAGCACTTTGATATTTTCCATCATCTTTCTATTCTAAATTTAAACTTTGAAGAAAGTTGTTACAGTTAGAATTTCTATTAACCAATACATAAGCCACCATTATTTATCTCAAGAATTAAAGAGATGGAATTGGGAACAAAGTTTGCAGACAAGATAATCACAATTAAATTCAGACATTTTACAATCTGTTACTATTTAACGACTTATTGAATTAAAAAGTTTTCTTTGAATTCCAAATGAATCTTTGCCTATGAAGATGCCGGAATTGTTACTCATTTAGCGTTACCCAGTGGGCAACTGTGAACCACGGAGGTGACCACACTGCCACAAACCAGTTTATGGGGTGGGCCACATTCAGACGCAACAGAGGACAGCACAAAGAGAGAGAAACATCCATGCCCAGAGCGGGATTCGAACCCGCAGCCTATGGCTTCGCAGTCACTAATTATGATNCAGTTTCTTTGAATTGAAATGAATTCGTGCGACTGATTAAAATAGTTTGATCACAAGAAGCCTTCAATATAGTAGACATTTTGCTTTCGTTTAACCAAACAAGTCTTCGCTTCTTAAATTAATTTTAAAAAAAATTTGGTATAAGCTAATCGTTATTAAAATATTAATATTTCAAAATATAGGGATTAAAACTACTTTGAATATAAAAGGAAAGATTATGCAACTCAGTGCGTACCCTTGCGTAAAATATACAAAATGTATGAATATTTCTTAACATTGAGTGGGAATTAAATTAAGCTTTAAACAGTAAGTTAATTAAATTTTAGAAAGAAAAGAAATGATAAAGTTTAAGCGAAACAGTTTAAGAACAATGGTTTAAGTATGTACAACGTCTGGAATCACGTATTCAACCATTACTAATACTCAAGTTGCAGGCTGTTAAATAAAAAATAGCAATTATTTAAATTTTAAAATTGTTTCGTAACATCTTTTCCAAAAATTGTTTCGTAAACTTTTTGGAAAGCAGTAAAGGAAAATAAGCAATATGATAAGTCAGTTTTACACAACAAGATAAAACTGGTTTTAATTTAGCATAACCCTATATAAATTAATAATCAATTTGAAAACTAATAATTTAAGAAAGCTAATATCTTATCAGAAAATGAAGAAACTTTTAAATTATCCTAGAGAGTACATTACTATACTAGATATATTAATTATTCTTAAAACAAATCCCAAATCATTGACAATTACTAGCATTCTATCAAACTTGAAAAATTTTAAAGACACATGTAAAAATTAGAACAATTATAAAGACTTACTTTTGAGTTCTCAAAAGAAAAAGTCATCAAAAAAACAAACTTCAGTAATCTCACAACAACGGGTAATACAATTATATCTTGAAGATCATTAGAATAAAGCTATAGTTCTTTGAAACAAACACAACACAGATTTACACACGGTAATCATCTGGGTATTTAAAAATGAGACTAAATACACTATGTCTAACCTCTGATATAAAACATACAAGCAACGGAGAAAAAACGAGCTCGTTAGATACCAGTCATGCCTCGTATTATATATCCCTTAATATCGATAACGATTATTTTCTAGCAAAACTGACTTGAGTTGAGTTGAAGATAAAGAGGATGTGTACTACACACTTTTTGGGGGTAAGCTTTCTTAAGCTTGAGCTATCTGTTCTTCAAATTGATAAAAACTTATATTTGTGGTTGTTAATTTACGTCGTACTAGAGCTGCATAGCTAATGCTCTCACCAGCAACGTTTTCTCGATGTCGAGCTCATTTTCCCCTTTCTTTCTCTTTCTAAGTCCGTTTGTATTATGGAATCGTCATGTCCCTTGTCTTTCATCTCTTCAGTGGGTCGATAAATGAGTACCAAGCATGCTTGGGAACTAACACTGGGGGTTCCGCGTTCGGCTGACCACCTAAACCGGAACATCTGCTCCTGCACCCCAAAGCCCTAGGTCAAGCAAACTGAGATGGGCACAGTAGGGCCTCTGTGGGCTGTCGTGCCAATGAGTTTAGTTTTTATTGGTACATTTAAGAGATTTCTTTTAAAGCAGGACAACGCTCTCACCCAAATAGTTCCTCGCTATGGCAAAAAGAACTATTACCATCGTTTTCTTTTAATATTTTTAGTTAAATATATGAAGTTCTTGGTAATCGTTCGGTAATTATTCAATTCATACTATTAGTCTTCCTATATCTTTTGTACAAATCCTTTAATAAAATACTTTTTTTATCTATCCATCTAAGTTCAAATAAATCTCTTTTAAACTTGTTTTGTTCAATTCATTAAATTGAATCAATTTTAGTTTCAATTTTAGTTAGACCTGAGTAAGAATATATTACCTGTTTTTATTAAAGAAGTTATTCTTTTTTAGGATACTTTGAATGACAAAAGTGCGCAACAATTTATTTCAATTTCTCGCAAAAATCTATTTCAATGTTGAATAAAATTAATTCTCGAGAGTGGATCTAATGAATACAAAAGGAAATTAAAGTGTTAATTAACTTTCTACTCTGGATAATCTTGTGGATGAGAAACTTTATGCAAGTTTTTATCATATTAAGAATTCCGAGAACAAAATTTTAGATCAAGTTATAATAATAACCAATCAAATTGACTAGGTTTAAGTTTGCCTAATGGAAATCGATACTAAATCTGTCAAACCAAATAGGGTTGGTAGGTACTTTATTTACGTCGCACTTTTATTACTGTACAATGGGCTATTGGCGACGGTTTAGGGCTGATCAAAGTAGTCACCCAACTGCTTACTAACCGCAGTCAGTGATGTTTCGGTGTTCTACTGGGAATCGTAATTCAGTCCATTCTTTGGTGCGCTGGAGAGGAACGATCTTTAACTTTCTGATCAATTCCTTAAAAGGAAAATTTTATTTATTAGTAGGACTAGTACGAAATCCAATTAGAGTAGGAAGACAAATGAAGGCTTGATAATATCTTTACGATCAGTCCACTGCGGGACTGCTGTACTTTGAAATGAGTATACAAGGTAAATACATAATTTACGTAGCACTATGGGCTATTGGTGACGGTCTGGGAAACATCCCTGAGGATGATTCGAAGACATGCCATCACAATTCGTGAGGGCACTTGCTTAATTCAGGCTCAGATCTGTCGCCAGAACCCTGTACCCATTTTACGGCTCAGAGACAAATTGCAGGACTTTAGATTCTATAGAAATGAGCATACAAGTCTGCATATGTATGTGTGAACAGTAAATAAATTAATAAAACGATACAATATTTAAACAGAGAATGGTTTTGTGATTGAAGAGCTTCACTGATGGACTGATGGCGACAATCTGCGATTCATCCTCAGTGGTTATTCGATGCGTATGAAATATAGGTGCATGCGCGCATTACGCTACCACAATTTATACCGAGCAGATGAAAAAAATTGCCCCAATCCTTACACCACGCTCCCCAGCCACTTAATCGTGCGTGTAATGTTATGGCTCTTAAGCTACCACACATACATCTCTTGGCTCTTAAGAGCCTTTGCTATGGCTCTTAGAATATCAGGCATATTATAGTCAAATCTAGATTTGAAAATTATATTGCTTTACATTGTGAGTGGATTAATTACATATATTTGCCTTTTCGGTAGACCTAACACTAAATGCTTATGGTGCGAAGAAGGGGTGATTTCGATTTCAAGTTAGTATTATATTCATGCAATAAGTGTTGGTTCCACTCCGTTTAAGCAATGAGGTTCGTCTGTGATTTCAGATACGAACTTGAAACCTTCTCCTTTGTCGTCCAAGAGATTAGACACCCAGCTTCTCACTTTCGAATTAAGTCCGTCCATGTCTGTCCCGCAGTGGACCGATCTTTAAGACACGGTTCCCAGCAGATCACCGAAGTCAAGCATCACTGGCTGCGGTCAGTGTGCGGGTGGATGATCACCTTGATCAGTCTGCGTAAGGACTGAGGGTGTGCGGTATGGGTCCTCGTTAAACTGTTCTACCGTAAAGTGCTCGACTTCGCGTGCAAGTCGTCGGGCTACCGAAGCAGGGGTGCCATCCCCTCTGCAGAGGATAAAAATTGTGATGGCTTGTCTTCGGATCATCCTCAGGGATGTTTCCCAGACCGTCGCCAATAGCCCATTGTTCAGCTCTAGTGCGACGTAAATTAACTACAACCAAATAAATAACCATCCATATCTTTCCGCTGATCGTTTTAGTCAGGCCGGGATAGCCTGGTTAGTAGGGCATTAGCCTCATGTCCAAGAGGTCGTGGGTTTTATCCCCGTTTGCCGAAGACTCCCCGTGTAATAAATGGCTACTAATGTACGTCAAATCTGTCAAGTCTCAAAGTCCTCCATGCTCTCATAGCACCATCCATGTCTTTCCGCAGATCGTTTTAGTCAGGCCGGGATAGCCTGGTTAGTAGGGCATTAGCCTCATGTCCAAGAGGTCGTGGGTTTTATCCCCTTTAGCCGAAGACTCCCCGTGTAATAAATGGCTACTGATGCACGTCAAATCTGTCGAGTCTCAAAGTCCTCCGTGCTCTCATAGCAAATCAAACCTCTGGGGGTAATGATCCAGGGGTTTCCTTGTCTTCTGAATGGGTTCAAAATAACAAGGTTACGAAGTTGAACATAAGTAGTCGAAAACCTAAAAATTGGGTCGGCTGTTCAACGACGGAAATAAAATGCTAAGGAGATTAACCTTGAGCCAAAGATGCAAAACTTTAGTCGGCAGATCAGCACTGGTTTTAAAATTAAATGTTATAAAATTAAATTTACCAGCGAAAGCTTCTTTTTTATGCCTCTCTACAGTCAGGAAGTAATTATTTCATCGACTTGTGTGACACCTCTAAAATGACAATAAAGTTTCTCTACCGATATTTGCATTTCAAACAAAATTGCAACTAAATACTACGGTTTTACAGAATCACTCTTGCAAAAAATATTATTAACGCTTAACACTAAAATGGTTTGAAAAATGTCTACTGCTCTGTAAAAAATTATTCTAAATTTTAGAAAGTTTGAAAAAAGAAAAGTGAACTGAAACCTCCAAGAAAGACGACCTCTATAAAGCGACCCTCTCTATTTACAGCCACTGTAGGGAGGGCGTTGAAGAAAACCTTTAGGAAAGACCATTAAAATCTCTCACAGCGACATCTTCACCCAATGCGGTCAAATAAGGAAGCACCAAAAATATTTTTTAAAAAAATATTGAACGTAACAAATAAGTAGATTAAAATGTATTCAAAATATTTTTGAGACGCTCTTATTTCGAAAGCTCTTTTTGACGATACAGTTCTCTAAAGACGGTGATTTACTTTTAGAGTTGAAAGCTAGATCAGAAGAAAAAAAACTAGCGTCTCAAACAAAACTCTTCTCATCTTCTTAAAGCTAACTTTTATGATATAAAATTAAATGCAAACTTAAGCAAAAGAACTTTATTGTTTATTTACTTAAAATAGCGTTTTGACAAATTAGTTTTTACACATAATTATGTCAGTTTGGATCATTTTTATGGACGCTCAATTTTACACACTGATACGTCTTTTCATGAAGTCAACGTAAGTGTCATTACCGCACCAAGAAAATGACACTGACTAAGATTACAATTGTTTGCAAGAAATCTTGCCATTTCGATAGCAATTTTGAAGTTAATAAAG